AAATGCAATTGCTAATAAATCGTCGTCCTCCATCGTCGTGCGTTCACTACGCTATCACTATCTATACTGACGTGTATACATTCCGAATGAAGAAAAACGAACGTTTGCGCTAGTCTCACGGAATTCCAAATCGAAATTCCGCATTAGGAAATCGAATACGTAAAACGTGTGTATGCGGCCAGCCTTAAACACACATTGTGCTTATAGTAATTGTAGTAAAATATATGGTACAAACACACACTGACCGCTTTACTTGATGGAGAGTAAGTGTATCCACTGACCAACGAGCAGCACTGGCGGATGCCGCAGCGGCGCCAGTAAGGTTTTCTTAGGGACGTGATGCGACAGGCAGCGACGAACAGCGACAGGTAGCGATGGACAAGGACGGCGATGGACAGCAACAGAATCATCTTCGTCCAATAGGTCTTGATGACGACTCTTGTAGGTAACTCCCCAGTCTGAAGTTTTCTTTGGATCGTCGGGGTCACCAATTTGGCTTCGTACGCCGAGTAAATAAGAGGCGAACTTGTCAATAAAATATGTATTTAATATTGAATAATTATAATCTCTTGACTTTACACCGCTTACACATGTAACCGCCTAAAAAAAGTGGCGCCAAAATTGTTCTGCCAAAATTAAAACCATAGATACTCAATGGCGACCATAAACAATATCTGGTATTCTAATAACAATACTAATAGTGGGTCCCAGGGAGGGACGCCACAGGTACATGTTTTTTTTTATTTGTTCGTTCGTCTCCGTTATTTATGAACCGATTTTAATAATTCTATTTTTGTTGGAAAGGAGATAAAACTTGTAGGAGAGCGTAGTGCTTTTATATGTTAAAATCGAAATCTTTAATAATAACTTGACCATCTCCAAAAAATATTAAATCTTCAAAAAATGTTAATATTTTTCTTTTTTTTTTCTATTAGAACCTTTTTCCATTACTGATCATTTGTAGGCATATAGTGTCGATAAATTATATTGCTGACACAAATACAATAACATCGATATATTGGAATACCCTGCCCTATCTGAGTAGCAAAATAGTAATGTCTATTGGTACAAGTGCATACAAATATGACATTTATTTCAACGTTAGCGTTTTGAATAGAATGAATTTGTTACAGCGCCATCTAGCATTGAGTGGCCGAACCTTTTTGTAAATTGTTTTATTTAAGTTTTTTACACGAAAGACGCCTTTATTGATTGTGACATGTGAAATGATAACAACTTTCGCTCATTGTTATAAGACTCAATTTTTAACAACATTTAGAAGATGATTTGCCAAAGTTGCGTTTCAACTTTTTACCCAATTATATAGCTGTTTTTTATGTGTGTAATGGACAATTTGATTTGCGAATGTGTGATTTTGGCGACACTGGTTTTCCTTTTGAAAGAGTGTAGGGGCACTTCTACTTAATTTTCTGTTCTGTGGAATTAAATATCTGGTCAGTCAAAATGTAGGTACATACGTGGGGCTAACGGTTTCTTAGTTTTGGATGGAATCACAATTTCCAAAAGAATGCTCTACAGTCCATTTACGAAGCTATTTATTTGCTTTTTCTAATGTGCAGATTCCGCCCATGCAGAACTCCACATTCAGTGAAATGTATTCTGCCACTTCTCAACTCGACAATCTGCAGAAGACCTTACTGATTTACTAACTACGTTTCTTACTGCATTGCTTACCACCAGGCGAGATTGTGGATATTAATAGCGCTTGGTTACAGAACACTCTCATATAATAATTTGTAAGTTATATGTAGCGCATTTACAAGATCAGAACCTATTTGAAAAGAAGCCGTAGACGGGAAGAAAGAAAGGATTGGTACAAAATAAAAATCGTTTATAAAACAGTACATCTATATTGCACTATAACATCTCACTGAGTATTGTACAAATCGTAATTACGAAAAGGGATATTATACTAAAATACAAATGTTATGTGGAGCTAATTGAATAGCTAGCAGGTGCATTATCACAACACAATCTAATAGGTACACGAGAACAAAGGGTACGAACAATATGTAATACACCGACCGTTTAGTACGACACAAACAGATACATTGGTAGAATCGAAGCTGTCCAGTTGTGTTACAGTACAAATAAGACAATCTGTTGTTTACCAAAAAGCATTGCATGTGCGCGTATAACATTCCCAATATTACATAGTCTATAATATTTTTGTTGAAATTTTAAACCATGTTAACTAGTAATAATTCGTTTTTAAGTCACACAACGTGTTAATTATTGCGCATTTAAGACTATTGTGTAAACTAGTTCCAAGTAGCTAAGATTTAAAGTCAAATTGCCTTTTCAAACATTAACATTACGAGTTACGTTAGATAGACCTTTACCTATTGCTTGTACATTTTATACATATCATTTTAATTACAACCTTTTATAATGCAGAAGTCAGATCTTTTAACAACATTAAACTTCATTATTACATATAATAGACTTATTATTCATTTAATAATTATTTTATATACAACATACAGATTTACACGATGAGTGGTTTATAAAATAAATAAAATCAAGGAAGGTACAGGAGATGTTTGAACACTAAGAACCTGAATTTACTCGGGAGCACAATTTCTACATGGCGTAGCTCGTAGTCTGTATGCTACAGCGTTCATGACTTAGGTGATACAGTAATTTCACTGTCTTTTTAAGTGCCTTATATAGATTTTAACTTGATCCCTCCCAAGTAAATCCAAGGACTATAAGAACTGCATCTACTTTAGATGTATGTACATAGAGATTGCCTTAATTCTAACTTCAATTTACATTCATAATCTATGTTTGCTATTGTTCATTGCAAAATACTGGTATGTTTAGTAAATAAATACACTCCTTTTGATTTGTTTCAAGGGTAATGTTCTATACTTTAGTTTTGTCCGTATTGCGTGCTTGGCATAAAGCTCTGCGAAAGAACATATTTCCCAAACATCCTGTATAATGACGTTATTACGTCGACTAAATTATTGCTTTCATTTTATTTATGCATGAAAATTGACAAATTCAGCAACATCACCGTAGGCGCTATATTCCTAAGAATGAAGGCAACTTCAAATCATTACAATAGTACTCCTTACATAATACTATCAAACATTCCATTCTTCCTATGGACGTTGCCTTATTGATTAATTGCTTTAAAATATTGCTCCTATTCTTCCACAAGAAAAATAATGCAATAATAAAAAAAAAATGTACATTGCTATACTCGTACAAAAGACAAAACTGTCATCTAACTGATTTCACTCGATTCATAGATATAGTCCAAGCTGCACTTTACAAAATGAATCATAATTTTTTCAATGAGGATTTCTGCTGTTTAATCAACCCACACTTTAATATATTCATAAGAACATATGAAATTCACGCCTATATTGAGGAGATCAAGTTACCTAATACTTTTTCATTAGAGATAGTTTCAAATTAAAAATATCCGACTAGTATTTTTCTATGCTACAATTTTTCCTACTCTACTTACGAATCCCTTTTCCTACACCACCTTATCTTTCCATGACGGTGAAACGCAAAATTTTTAAGCAATTATTAATGAGTCAACGTTCAAAAAGCACAATGTAGGATTTATCTACTTTACACTCATGTCTTTTATACTTTGTACCAGATGTGTAGTACCATCAGCATTAAGTATATGCAAAAATATTTAACTCTCTTTTATTCAAAATATAAAATATTCTAGCTTACAGAAATATATGAATATATTTTGCCGTTTAAAACGGCTGCAAAGAAGTAACTTACGCGAGAGTCAGCTTGTTTGTGTATTATTATAATTTAATGCTGACTGTACTTAATATTACTTTAGGTACAGAAAATGAACTTCTGCAATTAATGTGTTAGTATAATTAAACGTTAATATTAGTTCGGACGGTATTAAAATAGTGGTATTTATTCGGTACAACTCGCTATGTATTTGATTAATGGGCAAAGACTGCTGCACATTGCAACACTTGTAACTGAGATATTAATTTCTATAAAACAAATTCATACTTGATTGATCTTTTGATCATCTGTACTTTTGTATAGCTAAGATAAATTTCGCTTATAACTTTTATCTTGGCTGAATGTTATTGTTTAGTTCATAAATAAATATTCTTGAATATAGGTACTCTAAGGCGGCAGTCAAGGTCCATTACAAATTAAAACAGAAAATACCACATTACGTACAGACATACATACCAGAAATATGTACACGAGTAGTGTAAGTAGATACATTATGCAAAATATTACTAAATAAAATAAAATTATAATGTAAAATGAAAGGTATTCAATGTCATATGTTTTGAGCCGGGGTTGCGGTAGCAAATATAGCAATATATCGCCGCCCCGGCTCGGCAAACGGGGGGTGGTTTTTAGTCAGTAGGTGTCGGACACACTGGGAAAAGTTACTTGATGAAAAACCCCTTAAAAATGTATCTGACCAATAAACATGATGTCATAATATCAATTAACAGTCTAAATGTTTCTAACAACAAGAAAGTAAATATAATCAATTTTTTTTGTGATTATAATGTACTTCTGTACTAAACTGTACTGTTCCTCTAAAACGTCACACACATTTTAATAAAAATAACTTTAATCTATAATTATTCTATGTCTCGTCAATAAATAAATAGCAAGGAAATAAAACATCAAAAATAATGACTAGAGAATTGAGAGATAGGTGGAAATGTTGTAATAAATGTAAAATATTTAGAATTTTAATTTCGAAAACGCAAAATATCAAAAATGCTTGGCAGAGAAAAGAAGTCATTGAATTAATCAGACTTATCAAATAATCTGTATTTACAAGAATTGGGTAGTTTCCTTAGTCAAAAACAAATAATGTTAAGGTTTTTTTCGTGTTTATACAATGTTGAAAAATTTGAAAAATAACCATATTATTGATTGATTTGTCGATACACTTAAGTTTCGTTTTTCCAAGGTACTATTTGACGCGCAAATATTATGAAGGCATAAATTGCAATTTCATAAGAATTGAAAATTGTCGCTTGAATTTGATTTGTTGGAAACTGTTGTATTAAAATGGGATACAATATTATTATAATAAACGACGAATACCGGGATCATTTATTTACACAATGAATATAAAACTGTCGTCAAAATAATATAAAAAATCAATGTTTATTCCTATCAGCAATCTATCAATTACATTTAACTAATGGACATCACCAAATCATACGATTTGATTTCAAATCATTACACTATACATAAAATCACACAAATTATCTAATAAACACTTTTTCTTAATATACTATTTAAAATTTCATAATTTTCATATTAAATATTCGAATTCGAAATTATCGGTTTGGTAGTATATTATATGATATAATATTATAATAGCAGTGTTTCTACAAATAGATTTCAAACAGTTAATGGGGAAACATAATTTTTATTTATTAATTACATTATTTGTTATAAATAATGTAATATTTTATATGAAGTGCTCTTCTCAATCACAACATTTATGTTTCTGTTTCGTTTTTATCATTGTTAATTATATTTTTTTCACAAAATGTCACACGTCACACTGTTTGTAAGATGAGGTAAAGCTTCAGTAAATAAAAAACTGCTTTACGATCCTCCAACTTGACAACAAACAGATAAGTCACAATGTTATGAATAGCGACATCAAATACGTTTTCTTACATAATTGGACAAGACATCACACAATTTGAGCAATTGTTTAGGAATAAGATAGATCGTAAAGGCCACCAAATCTATAAGGGAATGCATTAAAAAACGTTAAGGTCACAACTTAACAGTGCATACTATAAAGGAGCGATTTAAACTGTACAAGTATCACTGCGAAATAATATTTTTTGGAATATGTCAATACCATAGGTGGGATTTTTTTTATAACTTTCGAAACTAGGACTAGAAGCGTGAAAAAAATTTCCTCATGTATTTTTCATTGTACGCCCGCATTTATCACCACATAGCCTGTATATCAATTCAATAAGTATATGTTGTACTGGCAAAGTTCACCGCATATTTTTCATTACTTTGAAGAACTCCTCATATTCTCTACTCTTTTTAGAAGTTTTCGATGCACTAATAACAATATTTGTAAGGTGCTTACAAAAACTAGAAAGGAAACAATAAATCAGTAAAAATATCTATAAAATTGCGCATTAATGTGTGGTTCAAACAACTAGTTACTGTGTAGCTAAGTAAGAACATTAAAAATTACATAGAATATGTAAGTGTTGCGGGTCACAAAAATGCGGTTCATGTGTAAGAGTATAAGGTTTATTTTACCTTACTCAATAATTAGGCATCTTGGTAAATGTTCGTGGAGATAGTCAAACAGTTCAGGTGAGGCGCCGGGACAGTTCGTCAGCTCGAGCTCACGGAGCTGTCGCAGTTGTATCAGGCTCGACAAACCTCCCGATGTTAATAATGGACATCCTAGAAGTAAACATAAATATTTCATTGTTTGTTTATCTGCAGAAGTACAAAATCTGCCTCTGTTAAATAATGTTAAGCACGGCCGCCTTGCTTAGTGAAATTGGGTATATTTAGGTTTTTCCTGAATTCTTAGTGTTAGCTCAGAATATGAAATACAGGAAAAGAGAAATATGCCTGGTTCATGACAAAGCAGTCACTTCCTACTTATTACATGGAATGACAAGTTGGTACTCGATATCTGGCAAGTAAGTATTAAAAAGGCAGGTCTTTTCTTTTCTTATGCATTACCTAGAAAGCTTCATACTCAGCGTGAATGTCGGAACAAAAAGCTCGTTACACTTACCGGCTAGAGACAGCAGTTGCAGTGAGCGCATGCCACAGAGGTGCTGTACCCCGAAGTCGCGCACCTGTGAGCACCAGCGCAGGAACAGCGCCACTAGTGACTGCATCGTGCTGATGTAGCCCACGCCGATGTCAGTTATATGTACACACCTGTACATACCATTGAAACTATTTTTTAGAGAAAAATTACGCACGGTACTTCCACAAAGGGGTGAAGTGATTTGAAAACGGCATTCTAAAATTTTGGTTTATCTTAAAGTCAACAGGCAAAATTATTTATTTCTATTAGCCCCTACAGCCACATTTGAACGTCAAACAAAGCTTAAAGATAAAAATTGTCAGTCTATCTGTCTCTTAGTGAAGCTATATGCTCGTTCCAAAGTGTAGATGCCGATGGACAAGAACGAGCAAGTAACACTAAGGTTAAAGGCCAAAGCACGACTCTCCCACACTTTAACTTAATACATATTTTCATTCTATTGTGATTATTGAGTACAAGGTATGCGGGTACAGTATCATTACCAGTCCAATTTTTGGTTATGGCCGGCCCACAAAATATGTCACCAGCCCCACTCCCAACCAACACATCATATACACAGACAGAGAGTGTAAGTCGACTGATTTGTGATCTTTCGAAGGCTTTTGACTGTGTTGAGCACGAGACACTATTACTGAAGCTAGAACACTACGGCATTCGGAGGTTATCTTTTGATTTAATGAAGTCATACCTATAAGAAAGACAAATTAAAATACAAGTGAACAAAGTAAACTCACAGGGTGCTAGTGTATCTATTATGGGCGTGCCGCAGGGCTCAGTATTAGTTCCTTCCCTATTTTTGGTTTATGTGAATGACCTGCCCCATTTGTTTCAAAATAGACGACAAGCTGCAATGGGGGCCCCACATCAGATCTCTAGTAGGACGATTGAGCTCTGCTGCTTATGCTGTCTGGAAGATCCGTCAGCTAACCAACGTAGGCACGGCAAGACTAGTGTACTTTAGCTACTTTCACAGCATCATGTCGTATGGAATTCTGTTGTGGGGACAGTCATCCGAGTCTATCTTTATCTTGCAAAAGCGTCCGCCTTAGACGTGGAACTAAGGTCGTCGCGAATCTCTGAGAGAAAAGTTAAGGGAGATCAACATTATGCCCATACCAAGTCAATTTATTTATGAAAACATTATGTATGTTATGAAAAACCTACAGTTATTTATAAAAGTATCTGACAAACATGATTATCACACTAGACATAGGAATAGATTAAGTCAGCCTTTATTTAGATTGGCTAAAGTGAATAAGTAATTCCTGGGATTCTGTGTTAAATGTAAAACAAACAAAGTCCCAGTTGAAATTCAAAATCTAAATGAAAGCTCTCTGAATGAGAGCACTGTGTCGGCTAGATGTGTATAAAAATAGTGGGCCGGATGGTATACCAGCCCTAGTTCTCAAGGCTTGTGCGCCCGAGTTGTCTCCTGTATTGACGCGCCTGTATCGCCTCTCATTTAGGACTGGTATTGTGCCCAAGTCTTGGAAGCTCGCCAACGTGCAACCCGTGACCAAAAAGGGCAGTCGTGCCGATGCCAACTATCGTCCGATTTCGATAACCTCCCTACTCTACAAGATTATGGAGCGCATGTTGAATTCGTGCCTCATGGCATATCTAGAAGGTAACGATCTCCTCAGCGACCGACAGTATAGATTTCGCTGCAATCGGTCTACTGGGGAGCTATTAGTTTATGCAACTCACTTGTGGGGCGAGGCCCTCGAGAGGAATGGGGAAGCTATTGCCGTTTCCTTAGACGTCTCGAAGGCCTTCGATAGGGTATGGCACGATGGTCTTTTGTCTAAGCTTCCAGCGAACGGCATTTCTCCTGGTCTGATAAACTGGGTAAAAGACTTCCTGAGTGAATGGTCACTCCGAGTTGTTGTCGATGGATGCTCATCAGAGCCTATGTCGACTAATGCCGGTGTTCCTCAGAGTTCTCTCCGCAACTCTATTCCTGCTCCCCATTAACGATCTGCTAGTGCCTGGTATTTTTAGGTATGCAGATGATAGTACAGTTGTAGAGAGATACCTGCCCAGTGCTCGGGCTAGTAAGGAGCTAATCCAGTCTGAAAGGGAGGCTATGGTAGAGCGTACGAATGTCTCACTTCAGGCAGTTTCCAAGTGGGGCAGAGCTAATCTGGTAGCATTCAACGCCATCAAAACACAGGCGTGTCTATTCACCGCGAAAAGGAGCCCGTTCACCTTGGCTCCTGCTTTTCGGGATGTATCCCTGGGGTGCACCAACCGTCTTCAGCTCTTGGGAATAAACAATGCTTCAGACCTCATCTTTGGGCAATTCATTGAGTCCAGAGCCAAGATAGCTGCTAGAAAACTCGGCGTTCTTGCAAAAGTCCGACGGTACTTCACATCGAGTCAGCTTCTAATGTTGTACAAAGCACAGGTCCGATCGTGTGTGGAGTACTGCAGCCACATATGGGCTGGTGCTGCAAAATGCCACCTAGCGGCTTTGGATTCAGTGGAAAGGCGTGCAAAGAGGCTGATTGGTGAACCAGATTTGGTTGGGTCCAATCTTCAAACTCTCGAGCACAGGCGCACAGAAGCCAGCCTTGCGGTTTTCTACATGATGCATTTTGGAGAGTGTGCGCAGGAATTCCACGATTTGATTCCGCCATCCCAATTTCACCTTCGGACATCCCGGCGTACGGCAAATATCCACCCTGCTGGCCCTGGCCCGGACTAAGCGTTTTGCCTCGTCCTTTTTTACGCGTACATCGAGGGTCTGGAACAGTTTGCTCGCTGCAGTCTTTCCGTCCGAATATAATTTAGGCGTCTTCAAAACTAGAGTGAATAGGCTCTTAATAAACTAGTGCGCCTTACCATCGATTGCATCACTGCTTACCATCAGGTGGGATCGCAGACAAGCACTAGCTTATTGCAGGTAAAAAAAAAATATTTTAATTATTAAGTTGTACACCATGTTGTTAATTGCTGATGAACTTCAAAGTTTTTGAAAATATTAATGCCGTGTAACCTATTATAATTAAATTGGACTTGTATAATGACAATGACTTGACAATTTGACTTGGGAGTTGTCATGCTCAATCAGTGTCATTGGAATCGAGCGCGATTCCCTATAATATGGTTGAGTTGGGCGGTGCTGGTGTACATGTCATATTCGTGAACGGGCGCCGCCTATTGGGACTGGTCATCTCCAGGCTGTCTTAACATGCTGTCCTTGAGGTTAACTTCTTTTTCGAATTCTTTGCCTAAATATTAGTGTTACACTGTTCCCACATATCTAAACGGACTAAATGATGTAACAAAGAAATGAATTGTAAAACTGATTGAAAAAGAGTAACCATGGAGTTTCTTGCTCGTTCTTCTCCATCGGAATCTACACTTTGGAACGAGCAAATAGCTTCACTAGAGGTTCATGGCTTTTGACTTTTTGACTACTGATTGCGACAAACCGACTTCAAGAGACAACTGTACTATAAAAGCGGGAGACGTGATCATACTTGCTAAATCATATTTTGGGTTTTAGATTCCTGTCTATCAATGCGCTGTTACCATCGCCTAGCACATTAGGGCGCGTTCATAAATTACGTGAGATGTTTAAGGTGGGAGGGTGGGGGAGGGGTCGAGTCAAATCCCATCTAATCTTAAGTTGGAGGCAGGGGGTCTCGGAAAACGTCACGTATTTTTTTCTGAATTAAGCAAAAAGTAAAATATACTATTATGGTTAATTTAATTGTACAGTATGTGTATTGTAGGAAAAGAATCCCACATTTTAAAAAATTTCACGTGAGGTTGGGGGACGGGGGAGGTGTTAAAAAAATCTCTCGAAATCTCACCAAGGAATTTCAAAGAAACACCTCACGTAATTTATGAACGCCGAATAATATTAATTTAACCAACTTACTATAGATCTCAATGCACAGTGAGGTGATACTAAACATGTTGCAATTTACCATAGAAAGAGTCAAATCAACATTGTTACCTGTCTAACGTAAGTTCTTCCAAATGATTGAGATCACAAGCGATGTACTCGAGAGCGTTGTCAGTGACGCGCGGGCACCAGCTGAGATCGAGACTGCGCAGGCGCGGGAGATTCTCGGCCAACAGTTCGACGCCCTCATCCGTCACTTTGCTGCACCCACTCAGAGACAACACCGTCAGGTTTGGTAGGGAGTGCACTGAAAGAATTTATCACACATATTAGGTTATGGCATAAGTCTTTTCGCCTTATAGTATGAATTTGTAATAAAACTTCTTTGGTTATACGATTTGTAACTGGCTGGTTTTTGTACCAATGAAAGTTAAAATTTTAAAGAACCTAATTCCAAATTCAAATTAATAAAATCCGTATATTAACAAGATGAGTGAAAAAATATTTTCCCCAACCTATTATTTTAAATATTATTAAAGATTGAAACGAATTTCTTAAACGGCCGTCGTTATTGATAAACAAAGACGCAAAAGACTGACAATCATAAGTAAGGTGCGACAATGATTGATTATAGATAAGGCAACTAACAACCTACATTGTAACATAAAAAGTTGAGAAAACATTAGATAATATTTTTTCATTGTGTGTATCCAACTAGTTTTGCAGAGTTTAAGAGATTAATTAAGTATATTATTAATTGGATAGAGGTATAGGTATATATAGTGCTTCATCAAACCCCAAGCGAACGCCAGCATTCGCTTAGGGTGATGAACTTCACAAACAAACAACAAAGTTTAATGAGAACAAATAAAAAAATGTCGGTAAATAAATCTTCTGTCAAAATATACGGACGTAAAAATTTAAAATGACTTGAATTTAAAAGAAAATTTAGTTTGATATACATATACAATAGTGTGTACATAGTGATACTAAGCCTCAAGGGTCCTTCCTTTAGGCAAGCTAACTTGGATAAAAGCCCTTGACCCGAATTCACATGCGAGTCGGGCGGGATCAACTTGAAATAATTGGGCATCCATTGTCGTTCTCAAAATAGAACACCACACTATTTTACGGAATTTACATTCGATAAGTATTAAGGTTTCATTTTGTTTTGTGTCGTCAAATACGCCCAGGAGTTTCTGAGTAATATATGTCTGTCAAAACAAATGGACATTTAGCGACATCAGCTCTCGCAATTTTGCTAGGAATTTTTAAGTCACATCATGCAAACACGCCTTTAGTTTTCTTTAGTTAATTGTAATTAATGATTTGGACTTTGTGTTAAATAAGTGCATAAAGCAATAAATTTTTAGGTTTATTTTCTGAAATTTCAGTTTTTTTTTTACATTTTAGTAATGTAGTATGTATGTAGTGATAAATGTCACGGATAAATGTTTAGAAACGAAGCTACATCACTGCGTCAGAGCTAAATCAGTAATTTTTTGAGGGGGTACAGCAAATGCCCTTACAGATCACTTGAGCTTAATCTTCAGACGCACACTCGCGACATTTAAGGGATATAAGTATTTTGCTGGACTTTTAGTTACTGTGAATGGGAGTGAATTGGGCCTCCTTCAACCTCAATTACACGTCAAACATTGTATCACTTGTAGTTTTTGTGATGCTGTGTAGTCACTCTGCTCCAGTGGTGTCGACTCATTTGTGCCGAAGTCCTACATATAAGTAGGACGATAAAAAAGGTGTTCTTACCAATATTTACGACGCCATGATTAGTCAGCTCCCAACAGCTGTGCAGTCGTAGAACACTGAGTGACGCACTCTGCTTGGGCGAGAAATAGCCGAGGGCGGCGTCAGTCACGTGATAGGCTTGAAGAGAAAACTCGTAGAGTGAGGGCAGTAGTTGGGCTACTGCACCAACCTGAAACAGATAGGTAGATAAGCATAGTTATAAAATACTTTAAAAAGTTAATGTTATGTATTTAGGAATTTAGGATGATTGTTTCTTAAAATACAATTGTGTTACTGATCAAGGATTCTGAACTATTTTCTGCATGGTTTTAGGGCACTGTTATAGTTTGAAAGTAACTGTGCACTCTTGAAGAGATGCATGAGATGGTTATTAGAAGTGCCCCATCACATAAGGCTAAAAATGTATTATCAATCAACATGAGACACTGGCAACATGGCGCGTATCATATGAGAAAGAAACTAACTGGATTCAGTTTCAATATTAGATAAAGGCGAACATTAAAAGTTGATAAATTCAAATGTTTGTCTATTTTTTTTTTAATATAATCCTGCTCGATACTTATATTTTATCCTGTGTCGTAGGTGCGCGTTAACAAATATACAATTTTACATACACATCACACCCAGACCCGGAACAACAATTTGTGGATCCCACAGAGTTGTTCCGTGCGGGAATCGAACCCGCGGCACGTTGCGCGGAATCCAGTTGCCCAGCCAACGCGCCAACCGTGCAGTCAATTGCTGCGGTCCTTTTTAATGGGAATTATCAATTAAGTCATTTTATGTAATAATTATACTTACAGCTTCGTCAGCAATGTTAATGCAATCAGTAAGCGTGAGAGAGACAATTCGTGGAGTTAGACATGCCCACAAACCAGCCTCGGTTATTTCATTGCATCCAGTTAGTTCAAGCTCAAACAGAACCTACAAACATGAATTTTATTAATGTACTACACTAATTCCGTTTCAGCAAATGTGGCAAATTTTGCTATTTTTGAGAGTGAGAAATGTCTGATCTGCAAACATAGTAGAGAGCCACAAAACTTATTGAATATACATTCAACATTACGTATTGGCGTAAACTGTAATGATGTATGAGTTAATTTGTATATAATTATACATACATAAATATTCAATTTCCCATACAAAGTCAACAGATCAGACAAAGACCAAAATAAGCAAAATCACAAATTAATGTCATGCCATTTACCTGAAGATGATCAAGAACAGCTTCCAAGCCTCTGTCAGTTATTGTACACCCTTTTAAACCAATAGCATGAATATGATGAGCTGACAAAGGAAATTGCCTAATAAATTCATTTATATCATCATCAGAAGCTGAAACTAAAACTACTCCACGAATACCCCTTCTGACTAGAGAATTGTAGAATCTCTGCATACAACACCCTGTAGCTGAGCGCAGTTCCCGGCAGTCTAGCACTGCGACAAGGCCAGTCCACCAGCGCGGCGATGAGTACAGTATGTCCCGCCATCTTGTGCACACTTGTGCTAGTGATCTTCTATCATTGGCATTGAAGTATAAAAAAAACTTTTCTAAAAATCTTTCTTCTAACACAAATTGATTCCAAGATAGTGGTCTGGGTGAGGGTCGGCGGCGACGCGGTACTCTCGGTGCGGCTGTTGCGGCTGTTGCTGGCCCGCATAGAGCATTGGCTACGCGCTCCACGACGCCAGGCGACCGCTTCCGACCGCGCAGCCCCAGCCCTGTGATGCGGCGCGATAGTTCAGCCGAAGCGCGTTCTACGACGCCCTGCGCCGACACTGATGACATCTTCACCTTAACACGGCGAATAGTGTCTGCCGCCGGTCGGCCGCCACCCGACCCTGCGCCTCCCGCGCCGTGCTCACAACCCGCCACCGCGCTACTGTGTAAACAATTTTCATAATTTATGAACAATAACAATAACCACACAAACACAAGCTGCCCACCTAAAGCATATCCAGAAGGGAAAATGATTTTAAAATAAAGTCTCAATGTTTACTAGCTGCATGTTGTATACAGTATGATAAATTATTTCATTATTACAGTTTATTATTTATGTAACATAAATAGTGTTTGTATGCCACTCCATTATTATTATCTACATTTACATCTAAATCTATATTGCTTATAATATAAATTATAACTGAACCCCAATTTCCATTGGTCATGGCATTGTGAGTATGTATTCACTCGTGAGGCTAAACTGATTCTGATACTTCTTTCTACGCGGAGTTGAAGAAAAATCACTCTGTGAAAGAAAATTTGAAACTAAAAGCATTTTGATGCTGTAACTGTTCAATTACAAAACAAATGACTGAAACCATTGTAGTTGGACATCCATTTGAAGCAGGAGTTGGCTTCAAGTATAATATTATATATATATAGGTCTCATAAAATCAATTATTATTATAGTGAGTGATCACCATCATCTATAGGTTTTTTTTTTAAATAGCGGCACTACTTGTAAGTTGCCTGCATACACAGAATGTCATGAAGGCGATCATTGTCATTAATTTATCTGTTTGTAAATTGTTCTTAAATTTTTAAGAAATCTCATAAATTATACGTGAAAATAAACATGAAGTAAATGTTGCTACTTACATAGGTACTACTGCTCTTTAGATTATTACATCAACAATAAGAAATTCTAACATTAGTTAGGTACTAAGTTTAACAGTTAATATATAATTGTTTGAATTAACAAATGTGAAACACGAATATCTAAGACCCACGGATGTGTTTTTGGATCCAAAGATAAGGATTTTGCAGTTTGCGTATGCTGAAAACATCGTCAGTTTTACAAACTGCTTTGGATTAGATAATTCTCAAATAATAGGTCGAAATCAATTTATACTGCACTATATGAATGATGTACAGGTAGATGTTAAATAAACTGAGTAAGCACAAACTCTTTTTATCAAATATTTTCAAAAATATAAAAATAAATAAAAAATCGATGCGATCACAATTTTACCTTTTGATTCTTTTCTGAAAAGAGAACAACCATTGTTTGATGTCCGCACTTTTAAATTGTTATGAAAATTTTATATTATTCATTCAGCTTTGGTATTTTATCCAAATCTATGAAAAATTTAAAGTCGTATGGATATAAAAAATTGGTGCAAAAACGCTCACGAACTCACTACTAGTGATGGACCATTTACGTCATGATTCCTGAGAGTGTCAATGTAGATATCGATAAAATGATATTGTAGTGATGATCTCATACATACACCATCGAACTTTAGACATTTTGTGAAAAACCTAACACTGAAACTAACTACTAACTAAAAACTAATTAATGATTAATAAATAAGTTGTGTCACAAAACGAGAATTCGCTGTAAATCAAAGCTGAAAATCAAAAAAAGAACTAGCCAGACTGATAAAATTGGTCGTTCTATCTATTTCTATTTTAGTCAGATTGAAATCGGATCCATCGTGTGATCGAGTGTTAAGAGAATTTAAGCGCTGTTCATAGTGGTTTGTTTTCTGTGCTGATATCCGTCAGTTTATCTGACGCTGACAGTTGACACATGATTTGGTTGTTTGTACTTGCCGCTTGCTTTCCGTTATAACCTAAACAATTGACCGCCTAGAGGAGAAATAATACAAATAAAAATCGTTATTTTGTAGATAATATATACCGTCGCAGTCCCTAACCAGTAAAAGTTCTATCGTGTTATAATTGTAATAGTGGTTCACTATGGAGTTCTTAGAGGCAATGCCAGTTACTTTCAAGGAAATTACTCCTAACTATAATTTACCTGAAAAATGGAAAGAAATCATATTAAACACAGGTAAATAACAATATCTATAGTTGAAGTGATTTTTGCGAGTCTTATTACTTGAGATTAAATTTGTTCCTTGCTTTTAGGTGGTACCCACAGCACCTTGCAAGATATCAAACTGCCTCAGAAAGCTGGTGGCTACTGGTACAAAGATTCCAAGAAGATTTGCACTCGTAATAGGTTTATTTATTGGTAAGTTTCATTTATTTTAAACTCTACAAACAGTTACTTTAATATGCATCAAGATTTTAACTGTCATTATGATTTTCAGGCAAACAACATCAGATGCAATTGAGTTATCAGAAGCTTCATTAGATATTAATCTGACATCTTGCAATTTAAGATGCAAAGTAGCTCCAGGCACTCCACCATTGAGCAACATCACTGTGTATGAGAGAAGTGCATCTAGAGATGTAGTTATATTGGCTGCCACTGTGTCTTCTGTGCACAGACTGATATTTCCTCATCCTGGGACCTTAGACAAAAAGGTGAAACATTTACATATACATTTGATGGAGTAACATACATATATTTGATATTGTTATCTAGGCATGTTAGAATTTAACTTAAGAAACCATTTTTTTATTTGCATTGTAAATAGGAAGAACTTTCAGTTGGTATAACAAACATGTTTCGAAAATATTGCAATTTACTTTGTTGGTCTTGAGCAAAATATCATGCTATATCTCATAATGTACACCAACATTTATGAATACATATCAATATATATAATAAAATTACATTTAACCAACCATTTCCTAAATGTATTTTACACATTGTATTTCAAAAATTTACTTATTTGTTAGTTTACTAAAATTAAGTGCAAATTTGAAAAGAAACTGAACCTTGTAACTGTCTTTCAATTTTACTTACTTAATAAATTTTTTTATTGTTATTAATTCAAGATATTAAATTTCAGTCTTCATTTGGATCAACGAGCAGTACATCACCATCAATATTTCATGATACAAGTTCTATAAATAACCCAAACAACTATTGCATTCTCAATCAGTATTCCAATGCAAGTAAGTATTAATAAACTTTTTTTTTCTGCAAGAAATTCATTTCTCAATATTTACTATATTGAAATGATTGTAGGAGATCTTGTTTTATATTATATTATATTCTTTGTGTCATTTCCTAATCTAATATACTTCTGATGGGACTGTGTGAACAAACAAGAGTATTTGCATTTGTTTCAAATCTTTATGTGGTGGAATCCTTTGTAAATATGTACATCATGTTTGATTTCTTTCAGCTACAGGTGTTGCTCATACTTGTGCATCCCTGTTACGTGATAATGGTGAGGCCGTGTTTGCCCTAGCTTTTGGACATAGTGGAGAAGGAGGTTTGTTGCTTGTCAAACTCCCAGTTACTGGGTCAGCTGTCACCACATTATTGAAACGGGAATCTACTGTGCCAAGGTTTCTATCAGGCATCACAGGAGCTTTGAGGTAATAATAATTATATCCTAAATGTAAATTATCTTTCTTCTTCTAGTTTTCACAGAATTGTCTTATCTAAATGTATTAACCAGACTTGGGAATAAAACCAAATTCTTTTGCTCAACGGTCACAATTGCAATGTCATAGCCAATAATGCAATCCTTATTTGTATGTCAAACAAATTGAAAGTTTAAATTATAATAATAATGTGCTTTTTGGTTATAGGGGCAAAAGTACGTCAGATGGTGTTGAAACCTATGGAGTAGTGCTTACCAGTGGATTAGCAGTGGCAATATGTGGCGACGCTTGCCTTCGCGCGTGGCCATTGGACGAGGGTGGGGCACCTATTGCGGTGTCCACACCTCTTTCACAAACTTTGGTCAGACCAAAACCACCTCGTAAGATTTTATGATATGTCGTAATAGTGTCCTGTAAAATTATTTTATAATCTTCATTTATAACATTCAATTTTTTGTTGTTTATTTCCAGCTCATGGCCACATGTTACAAAAAACCGTTGGATCAGATGGAAGTGTGATATTGGTAGCATACTTGTCATTTCCTAATGAATGTGAGTTTGTTGTTATGAAAATGCATGATGGAGGCTCTGGAGGTGTAAGATTCTCTCATATTAGTCGCATATTCGGGCCTCAGGTAAGGACAATATTTATCTACATGTGTCTAATGCTTTTTATCTTTTTTATTTTTGATCATTATATTTTTGTTTGTAGTTGGATCTTCTTGATTATGCAATTGGTTATGGAGATGGAAGCAATGTCATTTGGGCACTTTGGAGTCAACCAGACGGCGATACTATTATAACTAGTAAGTATTTTATGACGTGATTTACTTATTCCACGAACTTGTTATGCATCTATAGTTGTCCCATGTGGGAATCTAACCAGATAATCTTTACGCATCAGTCTGCCAGCCGTTGCGCTAAGCGTGCAGTCATATAGATTATGCTATCATTTATCGTTCAATATTTTATTTCTTAAGACAAAATAAATATGATCAGATAAAATCCAAGTTTAAATCGATGGCGTATGACACAGGTGTGTTAGTGGGTGCGGAGGCGTCGTGGCGCGCGGTGGCGGGGCGCGAGGCGGCGGCCGCACTGCCGACGCTGGGCTCCAACCAACAGTACCGCGACCGACTCATGGCGCCCGGTCTCTTCCCACCTGCCGTCATCAGGAAAGCACTTGTGGTATGTCACTACTTTCAAATGCCTATCTATTTTTTTTCTTTAAATTAAAATAATATGTCAGAAAATATGGCCTATATTAGGTGTTTCTACTGTGTCATTTTTGTGTGTTTGTAAACGATTTGCGGTAAATTCATCAAACACATTTTATCGAAAAAACAATTCGCCTAACGACAATTTTTCGAACGGTAATTCCACGATAACGAATTAATGAATTTTCCGGTTACCGTTTGTAAACATTGTATATAACACATTAAGATCTGCAATAACTAGGCAAAGTTCGGCTACGTCGTAGTTCATCTCTGTCATTATTATTACCAGATCTACAACCGCACATGGGGCGGTACCGACCCTAGCGGTGAGGGCGAGCTGGGAGACGCCGCTATGAACGCAGTGCAATCTCGTCTGCGACACCTCACTGCAAGGACGGCTACGCCAGACCACGCCCACCTCATGCATAAGTATGCTATCTGTTCTCTTTCATTATATAATTTTATGGTCTAAGATACCATAGCTTTACAGAAATTCGACTAAACAATTACTCGAATGTGTACGCAAATCCTAAATCTCCGAAGCCCTTATCCCTGAAACGGCAGCAACGCACTCGTAACTCCTCTGGTGTTGCGGGTGTCCATGGACAGGGCCCATTGATTACCATAAGGTAATCCGACTGCTCATTTGCCAACTATCACAAAAAGTCATCAGTGATTCTGATTTTCCCCATATATGATATTCAATCCCCCATACATGGCCACCCAGACACTATGCCATCTGTGCACTTTTCAAAGAGACATTATTAATTTATCTTTTTAGGTGCTGGTCAGATTTGTACAGCTGGTGTTTACAATATATGGAGAGTTTACAGAAGCCACTTGGACTTATGGTATCAAAAGAAGTAAGTGAAAATTCAGTTACAAAACTAAGAACAAAGATAAAATCACCCAAAACAATTATTCTGTAAAGTGTGGAAGAGCCATGCTTCGGCACGAATGGGTTGGTTCGACCGGAGTGATACTACAGCCTCACAAAAAACCAGCGTGAAACAACCACAACGTTCTGTTTCCCCGTGTGAGTGAGGTTACCGGACCTCCCCCAATCAAAAAATCTCCAAATCTCTAATACCCAATCGTAACTCCGTTGTTGCGGGTGTTCATGGGCGGCGCCGATTGCTTACCATCAGGTAATCCGTCAGCTCGTTGGCCGATCTATCCCATAAAAAAAGAAAAGAATTTATCTATTGTCTGAAATTAAGTAACAGTGATATTGTTTTCTTTTTTGCTATAGGAGTCTGATGTTGAATGCGGCTGGTGGTGTGCCGTGGTCCGTCGGGCTGGTATATCGTTAATCTGCGAACTGGAACCCCTTGAAAGAATGATGCTGTCGCCAGATGTGCCACTGCTTGATGGAAACGGTAATATCATATTGTTTTCTAAGCAATATCTTGCTTGCTATAAGAAAGTGAAATAGAGATGTTATATTTAAAGTGTATGTTTTCGTCTTGAATATTCGGGGTCTGTAGGTCATTACCTCCTAAACAGCTATAAACAATGGATTCCTTCTGGGTTGTATTTAGGTTAGATGAATGCTTCCACTAGGTGGGTGGAGTAGTTGTAAGCATTCATTTAACCTAAAGCCTTAACCTTAGCGTTATTGTTACTGTTTGTATAATATACGTATATTAATAATTATGTATGTAAAAAATGTCGTGGTGGCATGGAGGTTAAAGCGCCTCCTTTTTTTTTTATGATAGCCTGCTCTCATGCCTGAGGGTGCCGGTTAGAAACCCGGCAAGTACCAATGTGACGTTTTCCGAGTTATATGTACTTTCTATGATTAATTAGACACCACTGACATACGGTGAAGAAAAACATCGTGAGGAAATTTGGACTTATAATTTCTAATTATAAGTTTAAAATCGTCAACCGGCATTGAGCGAGCGTGGTGATTAATAATGAAACCTTCTCCTTGTGAGAAGAGGCCTTGCTTAACAGTTTAGGCTTATCATAGCATGATGATGATGTATGTATGCATGTCCGTAGAGCGTTCGTGGGGCGAGCTGTCGGTGGACGCGGTGCGCGTGGTGGTGGCGGGTGCGCGATGGGAGCGCGGCGCGGAGGGCGCGGCGGGGGAGCTCGAGCGCCGCCTCTTCGCCGCCGCCGCGCCGCAGCACCGGCTGCTGCCGCGCCTGCTGCATCTACTGCTCGCGCCGCAGACCGCTGAACATGATGCCACCGCGCTCGTATGTACCCTCAAACAATGGCATATTATTATTTAGATACGTTGTCTACCAAGATTTCGTAAATTTTCTCTTCTGTGTTTATTCACCCCTCAAATTCTATTCACTCCGTTTCAATATACTATTTATTACGACAATACACAACTAAAGCCTAAACATTGATTCTGAAGTATTCTTATTATTGCGAAGTTGCCCGATCAGTTTCGAGCCACACAGGAGCCTTTAGTTCAACTGACTATAAAGTAAAACCTAGTAGTCATGTGCACAATAATCTTTATTAGCATTAGCACAATATTTATAATACAAACCTCATGCTTTACGAGTATTATTTCATGCAGGCAACACATTTGTAACTTTCTCCAGGCTCTGGATTCTCTGATTTCTTACCGTAATGTGATTTGTCTGCTTGCCAACCTATTCCTTATAAATAAAAATCAATTAAAATAAAAATTATGCTTCAAACAATGAAATTTATAGACATGGAAACGTGTTTTTATAATTATATTATATAAGTAATATTTAATTATTTTGTTGGCCTTTCAGACATTAACACCACAGCAAATAGACGACCTCACTTCCATCTTAGAACCAATCAAAGACTTACAGAGTGCCGTGCTCGAACTAAACGATGCTCTTAGGCTGGATGTGCCTGAAATTGATACAACCAAAAGTAAGATTTGTAACTAAAGTGATAGAAATTAAAATTGTTTGAAGTGTTTATAGTACTTGTAATGTTTTTTCGTTTTTATTATAGATGACGATGAAGATTCAGGTGAATATGATGGTCTATTGGCCAGTGATCTCGGTGTTGCTATAGTTACCGAGGCTATACGACAGATGGCTGAGATGAGGTACGATATTTTAAGACGTTTTGTTTTTGTTCTATAAATTTAAATTTTTGGACTATGAACTTCAAATAATTTACATTTTACAATATAATTCATTGTGTTATTTCGGTGTGAGTGATTGTTACCTATTAACATTTCATAATATAGAAGAAATTTCGTGTCTATTCTTGGGTATCACAGTGTTTTGAATGCATGGTTGGCGCAGTGGCTGGGCAACTGGCTACCAAGCAACGTGTCGTAGGTTCGATTCCCTCACGGAAAAACTTTTTGTGTGATCCAAATTGTTGTTCCGGGGCTGGGTATACTGTGTACATATTTAGCCTGCACGGTTGGTGCGGTGGCTGGGCAACTGGCTGTCGTGTAACGTGTTGCGGGTTCTATTCTGGCATGTAACATCTCTTTGTGTGATCCACATATTGTTGTTCCGGGTCTAGGTGTTATGTGTATGTGAAATTGTTTGTTTTTAACCGCACCCACGAGACAGGAGAAAAACCCTAGTGTGGGGCAAAGTTTTTTTTAAATAAAAATAAATATGTGAAAAAGAAACTGTCAATTTTTTTTGCTATTTAACTGGGATCCTTAGTCTATGGCTTGAAGATTGAAGACAACCAAAATGATAATGTACTGAAGACTATTGGTCGTTAGTAATAAGTTTGTGACGTTGTCCTGTGCAGATGCCGCGTGGTGCGCGGCGCGCTGTGTGCGCTGGGCGCGTGGCGCGGCGCGGGCGGCGTGCCGGGCGCCGGCCACTGCGCCGTGCACTGGCAGGCCTACCGCGCCCTGCTCTGGCTGAGGGCCGCCGCGCTGGCGCCGCAGTAACTATACAACCTACATTATTCTCCTTTCCTTCACTAGCTACCGCACGCGTGCTTTGTTGTTAAAAAGCAAATCTACATACCAAATTTCAACCATACCGGTCCAGCCGCTTTAGTGTGAAAGAATAATAAATTAAATATCTTCATCATCATCATCCGACTATAAGTGCCCACTGCTGAGCAAAGGCCTCTTCTCATACTGAGAAGGTTAGAGCATTAATCACCGCGCCTGCTCAATGCGGGTTGGCAATTAAATAAATATCTTATCTTACTAATATTATAAATGCAAAAGTTGCCATGTTTAGATGTTTGTTACTCAATCACGCCGAAACGGCTTGACGGATCTGGATGAAAGGGGAATGCCAATTTTAGGCCCAGAGCTACACAACAAATTGGTTTCAGTAGAAAAATACCTTGTTATTTTACTCATGTCTTGCATATATTCATAAGTCTGTGCATGATGGGATATTTTTTCAAAAACATTAAATAGATATGAAAATGACTAATCTTAGGAAACATAAAAATATTTTCAAGATGTTGCCTTTACAAATAAAAACTACCAAGAATGAATCGGAACAATAATAGTGATATTATTTTTAATAGACAGAGATATTTTTCCGAAAAGAAAATGAATTAATGAATATCATGTAATGGAAACTAATATTATTTCCATTAAAGAACAATTTTTTTGTGAAATAATAATATAATCGATCTATCGATTTTTTCTTCTTATGGCAACATCAAGTCAACGTTTGACAAGCCGCCGGAAAAAGTTAATGTCAAAATCATTGCTTGTTTGTTTACTTACGACTTGTATAAACTAATCGTGGTTTAAATTGACTACTTTCACTCATTAACTTTGAGGATTCTCCTATCCTTGACGACTACAGCCTGATTATGGATTCTGCTCCTGCTACTCATGACGACACTGGTGATAAATTGGATTTAGTATTAGACGCTTTGGCTTACGAACCCGGCATTCAGTCTAGACTTAGTATCGACAATGTTGATTTGGTATTACACCGTACACGCTTCGACCGACGACGAACCCGGCATTTACTCTGGACCTAGTTATTCACAACAGTCATCTACTGCTGTGAGTGGTGATCTACGTTGTTTATACTGCGGTTTGAATGTATCTATAATTCGAAGACATACTTTGGAAATCACTGAAGTTCGAAATCTTATACAACGATGGATTAGCCAGGTAATTAATGATCATATATATTTAAAATCTCTTAGTACTTAATAGTATTTTAAAAGTACTTTATGTGCTGATTTTGTAACTGCTCTCATCTTTTCTTGTAGGTACAAGTTTCCAGTGATAGTCTAGTGTGCCATACATGTAGGACAAATGCTTGGAATGAAATGCGACATACAACAAGATTTGAGCCAATTATTGGTCATGTAAATGTATGTGTCATCACTGTGCCACACCATTTTTAAGGTAACAATCACATACATGGAATACAAACACTACTTGTGAAGTAGATTTTCAAAACATTACTGTTAATAATGAGATATAAGAGAATTCCCTGGTATAAATATAAATAAGTGATTTAATATTGATTGCTTGTGACACTTATTAACTTAAGCAAGCTCGCTCATACTATGGCGAGCAAATGAGATATACCGGGGCATACTGTATAGAAGTATGTACTAATAATAGTAATAGAACAATCACTATATTTGCACAAATCTGTTCACTGGTAAGGACCAGAATCGCTAGTCGTCATGTTCGTTGCAAAAAGCTGTATATCGGTTTTAGTTGGCACTGTTGACACAGGCCATGCAGCAGTAACTGTATTGGTGGCTGACGTACTGTAGGATGCTGTGCTTATGTCATGACCGTGATAATAATATGGTATTTAGGATGGACAAGGCATCAAAATAATGTATTTCCACCCTCACAATTTGTTGATGATGTTTTACTCACTTATGGTAATGATCAACCAGAATAAATATGTAAAACTAAAGGTGTTTTGTGTTATTTTACTCCCAGTTATTATGGTTTACACTTCCACACTATAAAATTAAAATAATTATTATTTTGTTTTTTTAACGTTACTAGTGTTGATGAAATAATAAAACCTTTAATAACTTTTAAGTGCCAAGTATTTTTGATATAATTTCTTTTACCAATTGATTATTGGAATTACCCTCTATAATAATCATGAACTTTTATATGTGTGCACAGTGGGCCTAAATTACTATGGGGACTTGGCATTCCCCTTTGGCACAGGCATGGCATGCTCTCCGGAATAGATAGATATATTTTTATTTCATTTTTTTTATCAACATTCCACGCGTGTTTAATCGCGAGCGGAAGGTAGTACATCCATACATTATCAAAAATGTTCACATTTAATTTATAATTTTGCCTTAATTTTTTAATCATGTTAAAATGTTTAATTTCACATAATCATAAAAAGTAGCAACAGCTAATACGTAGTTTTGATGTTGTGTAGAGCGGCGGGACCTTCGGAAACATTCCGGCTGAAGCTGAGCGCGCTGGGGGCGGAGGCGCGCGGCGTGGGCGGCGGCGGCGCGCTGGTGTGGAGCTACGTGCGCGGCGCGGGGGGCGGCCGCGCGCGCCTCCACCTCCGCGCCGCGCGCGCCCCCACCACCTGGCACCAAGCGCTGCCACTACTCGCCTACCATCTCGCACACCAACTGTATCCTTTTTTATTTATTTATGTTTTATTGTACACAATGAAATGCAGTTGGTACAAAAGGCGGACTTAATGCCATATGGCATTCTCTACCAGTCAACCTTTGGGTCAAGTGGAAAATCTACGAAAAATAGGTACGGGTAACATGTTTATACGAAGTGATTATTATTAAGCAAAAAAAACAATACTATATAGATACACACCTACATATATCCTTTTCAATACATTTCAAACAGGTTATATAAATATATTACTGGCGTCAGGTCACTTTAAAAACATTTGGTGCTAGTACCTACCTGGTAAATTACTAATTTTACCAACTACCGTAAGTTAGGGTTACTTTGATCGTGGGTATTAACTTTGATCCATCTTAACCAACCCCTTAACCAATGAAAGACTGAGAGTAACTGGGACGCCGTCTCCTCCTTCTGTGAAGCAGTTATGCTCGCAAAGAGGTAGGCGGCCCGCGTGAGGGAGCAATCTTCCTCCTCACGCCCCACCCGCCACAATAGGCGTCGGGGATCGAGAGATAATCTCGGGCCTGCGGACGGCGAGGATGGGCAGCTCGCCGCCCGACCACAACCAGGCCCAAGCGTACGGCGCATAGCGTTCCGCGCGCGCCTCAAAGAGCCAATAGATTACCACAGACGGGGCCCTATAGGACTGATGTTCAGCCGGGGTTGCGGGGTAAGCGCAATGAGGCACCGCGACCTCGGCCCAGAGCAGGAGAAGGAGCAGGAGGGTTTTTAGTCAGTAAGTGTCTGACACTCCCTCCCGCCCGACCCTAGGCGGGAGAAGTCACTTCTCCCCCCCTCCCCCCACAAAAAAAAAAACCAATGAAAGACGAATATACGTTTCGCTCTGGATTGTTATTGGGAGCCTTAAAGTAACCCAAACTTACCCGGTTCCCATAATATTGTCTTTCAACCAATTCTATTATTGAATAGAATTGGTTGAAAGAAATTGTTATTTCAGAATAAAAAACATTGTAATTCAGTGAGATAGTACGGCTTTCTTTCGTACTTACCTACTACTTCGTCAAGCGCGCAGCTGTAAAGGCTCCGGTTGTGCTTGAAAGTGTTTGATCATCCCCATTATACAAACACGTTAGTAAAGAGTAAATGTTAACCATTTGGTACTTGTTTTTATTTGTTTGTTTATGTAATTTCAAAAGCAAATTTTCTTAACAATAAATGAAATCAGCTGGGCTGTAAGTGGAGGATTTGAGTTCAGTTGGTGGCTGGCCACCATCGACCAGCCTCGCTTGGTACAGAGCTACGTCAACATGTTGGAGCCTTGGTGTGAATGGAATGCATGCTCACGTTAGTATAATTTTATATAAAAGGCAATGAATTATGATTTTTGTCGAAGACGGGACAGGACAGCTGCGATCTCAATAAGAATGAACCTGTAAAATACTTCGATCTTCAATGGTCCTTCAATCGGAATCCGAAGTCTTCGGAATCATCATTCTCGAAGATTATGACTCTCAATCCAATTTACAGACTGTTGTTTTGCGTAAAAACAAGTTAACATAATATTTTCGGGTAGTATGGATTATGGATGAATAGGTACAGGCAAAAATATAAAAGCTATGACACAGCTTTGACATTTGACATTTAAAATGGCGACAATTCTAGGGGCGCCTTGTAATGGTAAAAATTGGTTTAATCACAAGATTCCAGGTATGAATTTTGTAAACATTATAATATTTTTTGTATAAATTTCCAGGTCAGTTTATCCTGGGCTTGGCTCTGCTGGACTTGGATGACGCAGAGAACGCGTACACAGCGTTTTGCAAGGCAGCTAAGGGAGTGAGCACGGAACCGTTCCTGCGACAGCTGGTAGCCGCGCCCGACGCACGCCTCACGCAACATCAGGCCCTCGTACTCTATTACATGAAGGTAATTTCAAAATACCACATCGTCGATAAGTTTTAACACCGTGGTACTACTACTACTACAAAAAATGGTCAAAATGTGTTATGATGATATCGAAAGACGCGTCATTTGACCAATCGCAAACAATAATGGCGCGATAGTAGTATGTTATTGGGCATTCTATTCCACTATCGGCAAGTCGCTCGGCGAGTGCGCCTCGCTACCGATAGTGGAATAGAATGCCCAATAACCAATAAGCGACTCGACTCTCTACTCGACCAACGATAGTTCAAGTTATTTTACTTCCGATAAATGAACGTAAAATAGATAGTAGCTAGGTAGGCTGTTTAAGTTTATAAAGATTGTGGAAGTAAAATTTTACTCATTACTAATCAGTTCGTTGACAACAGAAATCATGAAATTTGTTAAACAACCACAATCGCTGCATGTAGGCACGATTTGCGGTGACTTTTGTAAAACTAGTTTGCGTCATGGAGAATTGTTACCTAATTCAGTACGATGTATTATTTGCGGACCATCGAATTGTGGCAAAACTAATTTACTTATTGGACTTCTTATACATGAAAATGGTTTACGGTTTCAAAATGTTTATGTTTATTCAAAAACCTTACACCAACCAAAGTACATTTTTTTAGAAAAAGTATTACAACGGGTACCAAATATCTCACTCCAGAAATATCAAGGGAACGAGGAAGTTATAAGCGTTCAGGACGCAAAACCCAACTCTGTAATTATATTCGATGACGTTGCTTGCGAGAATCAAACTAACATGCGTGATTATTTCGCAATGGGGAGGCATAAACACATCGATTGTTTTTATCTAAATCAAACATATAGCAAAATCCCTAAGCAGTTAGTAAGAGATAATGCTAATTTAATAGTATTATTTAAACAAGATGATATTAACTTGAGGCATGTTTATGAAGAACATGTTAACACTGATATGACATGGCTTGAATTTCGAGAAATGTGTTCTAAAATATGGAGTGAACCCTTTAATTATGTTGTAATTAATAAAGACTGTAATAAAAATAACGGATGTTATAGAAATAAATTTGATACATTTGTAGTCTTTGATTAGAAATACAAATATTTAAGACTATGATGCTTACTTGATATCATTACTCTTTGACCGACTCTTAAGCGATAACAATCATAGTCTACCGTTATGGAAAAATCATTGAAAATACAAATTGTTGATGCTGCAGAAGCTGTAAAGAAAAAAATACGAAAAAATGCGAGATTTTGACACTGAGAATAAGCAGGCATTAGAATCAGTTTTTAGACCTGTAACAGAGTCTCTTAATTTAATTGCTAACAGCAATAAGCAAACTGACCCCTTGCGATCTAAAGAAGTTGAAGAAACAAAAATTCCGTGCAAAAACGATACATTGCAACAAGACTATACTATAAACGGAGGAGAAAGTGACGTGGAAGAAAATGAATGTTATACAGACAGTGACGAGTCGTACCAATCCTTGGGAGACAACAATCCAGAGACAAATACATCATCCTGGTCAATATCTTCAGAAGCACTTTCAGATATCCCGTTTGGTGTTCGTACGGCGCAAGGACAACTGATGTTAGGTTCTGCTGTCATAACGATCAGTGACAATTATATCACCGTCGCTGGACGGAAATATCCAAGCACTCCTGGACTAAGACAACTGTTATTAAAAAAGGACGTAGATTTGAGCATGATTAAAGAATCTGATCTGCAGAATTATAAAATGATGTTGATTACAACAAACGCACATCGTCGAGACTTTGACTCAAACAAACCAATAAAAAGTAATAAGGGACAAAAATATATGCAAGTCATAAAACCTCTTTTTCAACCGCCAACTGCTATTCAAAACAATCAATCAAAAGGAAAAGGGCTACCTTTGACAAAAATGTGGAAGAAAGATACAGATTTTATATATTGGGATGATCCTAATGAACTTGTGGATAGGTTAAAATTATTGATTGCATCTCGAGACGCTGGTAACACTGGATTAGACAACGAAATTATATCTATTATTGAAGAACTACGTGAAAGTAAATATATTAAGTAATAAATAAATGGTAAAAAAAAATTGCTGTTCATTTTACTATCAACCTTTAAATATAATACAACTAAAATATGAATGTAGATAAATTCGGTCACCATATTCATAAGAGAATGCGTTTCTCTGAATTATTAGAGTTCAATGGAAATGCATTGCTAAAATCGGAAAGTGGTGATTTTGACTTGAAAAAATGTAGATTGAGAGGAATCAGATCTCCTGTAGATCCAGATGATGCCGTCAACAAGGATTACGTTGATCGATTGTGCGATCAGACTATAAAGGAGCAGAATAGAATGATCGGGTTGTTGCGTGCTCAAATCATAAAAGAAGCACAAATAACGGTCCAAGCTACTTTAAAAGCGAAGATACCTGACATTTTAATCCAGTTGGAGGATAAGTTTTATAACAAAGCGGAAGTACAAAAATTATCTAAAAACTCTCCATGATGGTAAAACAACAAATTGTTAATGAATTACACAAAGCAGCACGAAGAAATTTTGTTAGACGTTCAGTTATTATAAAAGGTATAGATGACTTATGGCAAGCTGATCTGATAGATATGCAAAACCTAAAAAAGTTTAATAAATGTTATAGTTACATTTTAGTAGTGATTGATTGTTTCTCAAAGTACACCTGGACAGAACCAATAAAATCCAAAAGTAAACTAGATGTTTCTCGTGCATTTGAGCGAATACTAACTACCAGCAAACGAAAACCTGATAATTTACAAACTGATTCTGGAACAGAATTTTATAACACTACATTCCAAAAGCTTATGAAGAGCTACAATATTAACCACTACTCCACGTTTTCTACCACGAAAGCTTCAATTGTAGAACGGGTAATTAAAACAATTAAAAATAAAATGTATAAATACTTTAGTTTTATTGGGAACTATAAATGGTTAGGTTCACCATTAGAAGTTATTGTAAAAACCTATAATAGTACAAAACATCGCACCATCAAATTCAAACCATTCGAGGTAAATAAGTTGAACGAGTCAAAGATAAAAGAAAATATTCAAAAATCTCAAAAACTAACTTCACGACAATGTTGTCCTAAATTCAAAGTGGGTGAAAATGTTCGGATCAGTAAATACAAACATATTTTTGACAAAGGTTACACGCCTAATTGGTCAACCGAAGTATTTACTGTAAAAAGGATTAATAATACCATACCAGTAACATATCGTTTAGAAGATCACCGAAAGCAACCCATTAGAGGTTGTTTCTACGAACAAGAACTTCAAAAAACTAGCTATCCAGGTGTTTATTTGATAGAAAAGGTTCTTCAAAGGAAAGGAAAGAAACTTTACGTGAAATGGTTGGGCTTAAGCAACGAAGAAAATAGTTGGATTGATAAAGATGCAATTGTGGGTTAGGATTATGAATATATAACCAAGCTCGTAAGGATTTTTTTATTCATTTCACTGACTACTATGCAAGGCAGTGGACTAGTCAACAGTGTGATTAATAATCTACCATTCGAACTTCATTTGCCTGGGTATAACTATTGTGGACCGGGAACAAAACTTGAGAAACGATTGCTGCGAGGTGATCGGGGTGTGAATAAACTAGATGAAGCTTGTATGCATCACGACATCGCATATGCAAACCACACAGACTTACCTAATCGTCACAAAGCTGATTTACAACTTTTAAATATGGCTAAACAAAGACTAAAATCAAAAGATGCAGGGAAAGGTGAAAAACTTAGTTCATGGATAGTGAGCAAGGTTATGAAAGCCAAACTAAAGTCAGGAGCCGGTATTAAAACATTTAATGCTTTTGTGTCAAAAATTAAGTCACAAATTAAAAAACTAAAACCTAAAAACAGTAAAGCACTAATCAACGTTGCTTACTCAGCTGCGAAAAAGATATTTCCAGACATTCAGAAGATTCGCATACCCCGTGTTATACCCATACCAAAGACAGGAGGAGTCTTACCTTTAATCCCAATTTTCGCTGGATTATCTGCTTTAGGAAGTTTAGCGGGTGGTGCAGCCGGTATTGCAAAAACCGTAAACGAATACAAGGCTGCCCAAAAAAGCTTGCAAGAAACGGAACGACACAACAAGACCATGGAAGCTTTAGCGTTGGGCAAAGGGTTATATATTAAACCCCATAAAAGCGGTAAAGGGTTGTTTATAAAACCTCCAAAAAACTGAATGAAAGGCTACCTAATCGTCCTTTAACTAATATTGATATCAGTAAGCATGCACGTGACATTCCTTACTTTCGAGGAGTGTATATGAAGGATCGGTTACCAAAAACACCAAAACGCATTGAATGTGCTATCGTCAACTTAGACGATTCACGAAATGAAGGAACGCATTGGGTAGCTTATGCTAAAATAAACAATTATTGTGAATACTTTGATAGCTATGGGGATTTGAAACCTCCAATGGAATTAATGCAGTACTTTAAAAATTGTAATGTTTTTTATAATTATACTAGGTTTCAACAATTTGATACATTTAACTGTGGACACTTATGTTTGGAATATCTTTGGAAATTTTGGAATAAATACGTATAAATGTTACGCATGTCTTTTATTTAAATCATTTTCATCATGTCACTCACCTTGTCTATAACTGCAAACTCCTCTGATTTATCTACGTATTATCCCAATACATTACAGCTCGATGGACATTATGAGTGTGCCTTATTACATTTCTCAACATTTAATTCAATTCCAAACATCGACAAAACAAATAATAAATTATATTATGGCTCTAACGAAGTTCTCGAAATACCTGAAGGCTCCTACGAACTACAAGATATCAGCGATTATTTAAAATCTGAAATGAAAGATTGCTCAATAAAAGTACAATGTAATAATAACACTCTAAAAGCTTTAATATACTGTACTAAAGATATAGATTTTACTAAAGATGGGACTTTTGGGAAATTATTAGGTTTTAACAAACAGATTTTAGAAGCAAATAAATGG